ATGAACAAAATGAAGTTTCTGAAATTACTCAATGCAGAAGAATCACTTAATCCTTGGACATGTGTAACCATTGCAGTGATTTGGAGCTGTTGTCARTTCTGGGCTTTGCTTATTCAGTATTTTATGGCTGATTTGTTGCTGCAATATGGCAGCCAATAAAACTGAACACTAGGAATGTTACCTGTTTTAAATCTGTCTGTGTGCTGTTAACCCTGCTCTTTCCTCTTGCAGGAACAGACTCAATGCTTCACGGGAAGTGGCCCCAGTGAGCCTCCCGAACTGCCGGCTCATTAAAGGGATCGGTACGTGCTTAAAATAACTGAGTGTGTTGCTTTTGTCCAGCCTTGCTTTGTAAGGGCTTCCTAAAGCCAGCTTCCAAGCCTGATCCCAATAACAAAGTGCTAATTTGACTTCCATTTGGTCCTTGGACTTGGAGATAGGGAGTAACCGGAGGAAGAAAATCATACTGAAAAAGTAGTTTGGTATAATGGTTTTTGCCTTCGGTGTTGAAGGTTTCTTTCCCTTTTCTTGAAATTGAGCACCCTGTAAACACTTCTCCTTTGCTAAGGCACTTAGGAAATTATTTGGCTTTTCGATGAGGTGTGCTGGCTCTTCAGGCGGGTACCTACAGGTGACTGTCAGCTGGTGACATCTTGCAGACGGGAAGTGCAGCAAAGGTGGGAGCTTTAGGAGAGACCCGCAGGCACCTGGCGAAGGAGCGGCTGCTAAATGCCATCCAGGATGTCGCTCCTTAGCGCCGCGTTTTGGGGAGATTTAGGAGCCGCTGGTGCCACGGTGCCGGCGGGCGGGAGCGGGGCGCGGTTRCGTAAGGCGGCTGTGCGGTTCCAAAGAGCAAGGGGTCATGTTTGTCATCTTAGTCTGCTTTGCAAGAGCTTTAGCGAAGTGGCTCAAATGTTGACTTTGTACTTTGGGCCATGTGTTTAGCATACAGCAATGTTTCTGGCTTGGTTTTTTTTTCCTCTCCATTTAGGACAACCAGTGGATAAAATGAATAGCTTTGAAATGGATTGCTTTTTTTGTGTCTCCGTTTCTCCCAAATAATAGTTTTTAATGAAGGCTTGATGGCTAAGGATTTTCCCCTCCTTAGTATTTTTGAAAGTGTCTTAAATTAAAGACACTGAAATTTGTCTGGATTTTTCATGTGTAAAAGGTCATTGGATGAGCTTTTATAGCCTGGTCTTTGAACTTGCTCACTGAGTTRATTTCATAAATCTTGCTTCTTCATTGTGTCAGGATTCAAACATGTTTGTAAAGTTAAATTGCTGTCATGAATGAGTAWATGCAGAGTTCCTGTGCTTGAAAGTAGGTACAGAAAAAAATGCATTTAAAAAAATTTCCAGCCTTCTAGATCAAGCTGTAATTTGCTCATACAAGACTATGAATAATGTTTATTTAATGGTRATTAATAGAAAATAATTTATGAATAATTT